GAGTTGGCAGCGAGTCTGGGGGAGTGTGCTCTGCGGCGTTTTGGAGGGCGAAGTGCTGGAGAAGTACAGTCATCGCGAGGGTGCGATGGTCATCACGGAGGTGGGAATGCGCGAGTCACTCAGCGATGGGGACGCCTATGATGAGGAGGAATGGAGCGGGGAAACCGAGAGCGACAGTGGGGATGACGACGAAATGGAAGATGAGGAGGATGAAGAGGAGGAGGCGTTGGGAATGGAGAATGATAAATGTCTGCAATCACTCCTCCATTCGGCGGCGGATGTGCTGAAAAGGGACGCAGCTGCCGCTGATGACGGGGATGACGATGAGGGGGAGGAAGACAATCTTCTCGACGAGACTGACTTTGTGGCTCCTATCGATGCGCGCAACGCGTGGGCCTTTTTGCTGGAGTCGTTCCGTCACGCATCGGCAGCCGCGTCTACACGTTTCTGCCAGCTTGTGGGTGATGCCAACTCGCAGCGGCAGTTGCAGTCCATCATGCAGCTGAGCGATGCGGTGGAGCAGCTGCTGGCGGCCCGCGGGAGGCCAAATGCCGCGGACCCCCATTCCCCTCTTCCCCACCCTCCGGTGCGTGAAAAGTTAAAGCCGCACTTTTTATAATTTTCCCCTTTCTTTCATCCTCATGCGTCCCGGCCATGTTTCTAAGCGGTGCGTGTGTGTGTGTGTGTGAAGAAGAAACAGGCAAAGACAAAAAAAAAAAAAAAGGAGGAGGGACTGCGTGGAAACCACAACAGTCATCATAAGTTATATATAAATATATAAATATATAAATATATATCCACAAACACGCACATACACAAGTAGGGAGGAAAGGAGGGAGGGATAACTAAGGAGGAATGGAGGTTTGGTGGCGTTACTTACTTTTTACTCCCTCACGGTGATCTTGAGTTCCCTTTTTTTTTTTTTTTTCTCATTTCTTCCATCGATATTATTTGTCTTTCTATCATTTTGTTATTTGTAGCATTTATTTATTTATTCTATTTAACTTTTTTTTTTTTTTTTTTCTGCATTCAAGGTGGGCAATGCGGTCATCTATGTTGCTGCTTTTGCGAGAGATGTTGCGGATGGTCAAGAGATGGGCAGGCCTTTTTGCCACGGTGTCTCTTATTATGGTTTTTGTTCAGACGGTGGTGATGTATCTGTATGCCCCTATGCTTTCCCGCGCGCCGACGTTCATTGACGTTCTTCTGACGTTTATTGCCGCGTCGGCGTTTTTCATGACGGTATGGTCGCTGACTTTATTAGCCACGAGACATCCGGGGGTGACGCCGTCGTGCTTTGCCGAGGAGCGCATGGAGGAATTTATGCGTGGGGTGCTTGCAGATGTTGTGCAGCGAGGCGATGCGGATGAGACGCATGAGGAGGGGGCCAACGGGGAAAACGGCACCGTCTCCCACGACATCGCCGCGGCGGAGGCGAAGGATTGGCTGGAGGAGGGCCACAGTGTCAACAGGGCAGTTGCCGCCGTGCAAAAGCCGCATTTACGCAGCGCTAACGCCCATCAGGATTCAACAGACATTGCAGTGGATGTTATGAACGTTGCGGAGGACTTGCAGGTGCAACAAAAACAACAACATGAAGCGCAGCAGCAGCAGCAGCGAATAACTGATGGGAGTTACAAACGTTGCCGTCGTCACAATTTCGGTGGTGCTGACGGCAAAGATTTGGAAGGTCCTTCTGGCAAGTTATGGTTGCCGCAGCGGAATATATTTTTGGTCGCTTCCGACGCCCTTGCGGCTCTTGAACGCTCTACCGAAAGCTGTGAGCAGGAGATGTCATTTCTTCTTGGAGGGGCCCGGCGCTGTCGCTTTTGCCGCATCTACAAAATTTCTGAGACGCACCACTGCTCGAAGTGCCGCATCTGTGTGTATGAGATGGACCACCACTGCCCGTGGATAGGTCAATGTATCGGCCGCGACAATCATAAGCATTTACTCCTGTTCATGATCTATCTTGTCGTTTTCCTGGGGACATCTTTGCTGCACATTTTGGTTTTTAAAAACAAAGGGCGTACGTCTATTCTTTTAGAGGACACATCTTCAATTTTGCCATTTGTGGTTATTTTATCTGGAACCTTCATAATAATACTACTGGTGTTTTTTGCGCAGGATTTGTTTTTATTGGGAAAAGGCGACAGCACACTGCGACTGTTGCGACGGGAGGAGCGCAGAGATTATGAGTCGCGGCGCCGCGGGGCGTATGCCTTTTTGATTGACGATAACAGCGACAGCGGCGATGGGGTTGCAGCGCGGAGTTTTAATTTCAAGAACTTGCGTCGTGTGTTTGGCACGGGCTCCGTGTGGCCGTGGTGGTTCCTGCCGCTGCGGCCCCAACGACCGTCGCTGGTGGAACAGGAAGCTGAGCTTTGGGCCGCGCACAGAGCGATTGCGCTGCGACAGCTGCGGGCAATAGCGGACGCCGATGATACCAGCGGCGGCAGCAGCGAGGAAGAGATGAAGGAAGAATAGGGAGGCAGTGGAGGGTTCCAACGCCTGCGAGGCCTCGGGAATGCATTGCGTGTATGCATGCGCATTTTTTTTTGTTTCTTTTCTTTTTTTGTGGTGCGGAACCCAACGGGACAACATGTTGGATGCGGGAGGATGTGTGGGGCTGAGGGGAGGAGGAGGAGGAAATGTGTGTGCCTGCATGTATGTGGAGCGGGCCACAAAAGATGTTTCTGTTCCCAAGAAGACTTAAAAAAAGAAAGAAAAAAGAGAAATTGAGAGAAAAAAAAAAAAAAAAGAGACAAGCGGCGGCCAAAGACGCCGGGTATTTTGAACGAGCGAATAGTAATAAAGTTTTGCGTGGGGAGGGGAGGGTGCCACCCGGGAAGATGTGTGGTTATGCTCAGGCGTGCCTGTTCTGCCTGTCTGTCTGTCTGTGTAGGACGGGGGATAAACCGAAGGGCCGCTGCGGCATGCCGATCACAGTGCCACACACACACACACACACACACACACACAGTTGTCGTGTAAAATAAAAAAAAGAGCAAAACAGAAAAATCGGACGGAGAAGAAAATGGAAATGGAAATGGAAAACAAAACAAAAACCAAAAGGAAAGGGAACAAATACACTAATTTATAACTTTATTGGCATGAGCGGAAGCTTCTATTTGTGTCTATTGTCATTTCTTTAGAGGGGTGATGCCTCCTCTTTCTTGCAGGGAAGGACGAGAATGAGAAGAGGACGGTCTATCTCCTTCTCTCCTTCTCTCTGTGTGTGCATTTGTGGCCGACGGATGTCATTTCCTGCGAGTTCCTCCCTTTTTTGTTTCCTTTACTGTCCGTGCTTTCTTTTTTTCCCATTTGGTCTGTGCATCACGCAACCACCGTTGCCGGGAAAACACACGTCATTGCGGCGGAGAGAGAAAGCATCCAAAGAGAAGCTCTATTCTTTACATATACGTACATATTATACACAAGTACACAAATAAACAACAAGCAAAGCAAAAAGGTGCAGCGAGGGGGGAGGGAAAAAAAGAAAAGAAAAGAAAGGGTGAGAGGCACTCGCGCAGCACGAAGAAGACATATTTTCATACAGACGGACGTGTGTGAGGCATCCTGACAGGCCCGTCGACAATTGTCAAGCGAGGGACGAGAGGGGCGCAGGAAGTCACACTCACAAAAGGGGGCGGGGGCGAATTCTCGTTGACTCTCGTCTAGCGGGACCTCACGGCGGAAGGAGGCGTAAGCCGTGAGACGAACAGCGGAAAACTCAAAGAGAAAAAAAAAATTAATTGCAACCGCCGCCACCACCACAATAAAAAAAAAAAAAAAAATACCAAAGGAATTTATAACCAACTAAGAAAAGGTGAGGGGGGGAGGGGGGGGGAGTCATGTCAATTCATGGCGCCATCACATTCTTTCTGGATCAGGACCCCGGGGCCATTGGAGTTTCCGCGCTCTCTTGCTTAGCATCGAGCCTCAATGAACCCGGCGTTGCCCACTCTCTCGTTGAGCAACATCGTCCTGCATGCAAGGAGGTGCTCTCGCAGATTGTGGCCGTTGCAAATGATGCTGGCAAGAACCCTAACGCACGCATTTTGGCACTGGAAAGTCTGTATGGCATTTCAAACGTTCCCGATGTCAGGTTTCGCACTGGGGATTTACTTGACGCCGTGCAAAAGTTGAATGAATCGTTTGAGGAGTTTCTCGAAACGCAGTCTACGGGGAATGGTGATGCACAACTCGAGATACTGACGGTGCTGTTGTTTCGCTGCAGTGACTACATGCGATTGAAGGCGGGGGATCTGTTACGGCAGTTGTATAATAACGACGACGCACGACTCGTGTCGACGCTGCAGATGATCATGAAGAAACGGTCATTGGAGTGGAATATTGTGCATGCCTGTGTGCGTTGCATGTATGAGTTGACCACCCCAGTGACTTACTTCACCGCCCCTGATGAGAATCTTCCCATTGAAACCACAAAGGTGAGTGCCTTTCAAGAAAAAATAACGACGATCCTCATTCATTTCTCTGAGGGTAAAGCGCTGCAAGAACTGTTTGCGGAGCTCGGCGCACGCTGGGCCATCGCCGTGGGTGAGGAGCGGATTGAACAGATTTTGGAGGGCCAAAGCCCCGTGAAGGACTCCGTATGTGACGGTGTAGCGATGAGGTTCTTGGGGTTGTTCCGTTACTTGGCGGTGATGCTGCTCAACTTGGCCGACTTTTGCGAGCGGATGGATCTTGTGCGTGGCTACCAGCGATCTTTCATCACGCAGCATCAGAGTTTTCTTGGCGACACGGTGATACCCTTTTTGTCTCTTACACTTCTTTGCTGGGAGGCCAGCTGTGACACAACACTGGAGTCGCAGAACAATCCATTCATGAATGTGGCCATTTCGGTGTTGCGTTTGCTGCGTTTTGCCCTTTACCGACCGTCACAGGCGTTGCAGGAATCCCTTGCGCTGTCGCTCAGGGCTCTGACGCGACATGTGCATCGGCTGGAGTCCCTCCTCTGCAAGGAGTATGTGGGCATGCTCGTCATTGTTCTTACCGTGGAGGTGCTGTGCAATGTGAATGCTGTCAATGTGGAGCCGCTCACCGCGGACTTCACTGCGCTGGTGAATTTGATATCAACCGACACGAACCCGCTACGCCCTGGGGCGCATTTCACGGTGGCACAGGCCTTCACATATTGCCTTTCGAACGAGACGTCAATGTACTGTGCCCCGGACAATGAGTCGGTATCCCTGCTGCGTCAACGGCTCAGGTTTGAGGATGCGGAGATGGCCAACGAGGCGGCGCGGGTGGTGCAGGCGTTGGAGGAGCAGTTGGGCATGCTGCAGACGCTCATGATGGAACTGGCCGTTGGACAACTTATTGGTGATCTCTCACTTTTTGCATCATATGCCACGGGATCGATTTCCTCCGGGCAGGCGCCGCCTGTGAAGACTGGTGCCTGTGACACAAAGCAAATGCCAGAAAAGGCAAAGAAAAAGACGAAGCACCCGGCCAAATATGTCTGCATGCTGACACGAAAACTGATGCGGGAGCCTGTAGTGTTGCGCAACGGTCATCACTTTGAGTTAGACGCGCTACAGGAAGTCGTGGATCGCGTTGGCCACGTGGATCCCCTCACTGGCGAGGCTTTTGACGAGGAAATAGAGGTGGATATGGGCCTGCAGCAGGAGATTGCACGGTACCGAATAAAAATGGCTGCCCGCGGGGATGATGAAGCGGCAGGGCAATAATTTCAAATGGGCACTTAGTTATGTAAATATATACACATGTATACACATGCCCATGCATCGACATAAAGGCTTTTGCCTGTGTAACTACATATTCCATTATTTGATTGCGTACATATATGTATATGTATATGCGTGTGCGACTAAATGTCTTTTTTTTTTTTTTTGCGTGCGTGCGTGTGCGCTGATGGTGTTTTTTTTCTTTAATGGTTTGCCATTTTAAATGAGGATATCTTTTCTTTTTTCTTTTCTTTTTTGTTGTTGTTTTTTTCTGCTTCTTCCCTTTCTTTGCGTGTCGTTGGGTGGTACATTTTTTTGTTCGCGTTTCAGCTGCGCCCATTTTAGTGTATTTGTGGGTGTGTGTTTGTTTGTGTGACGCCTGGGGGAGGCGTGTGGGGAGAGGCGCCGGTGACGGGAGGTGGAATTCTTCGCCCGCCCACTCGTTTGTTCCCGCGGCGAGCCAAAAGAGAAAAAAAAAAAGGAAAAGGAGAGAAAAGGAAATAAAAGAGAAATGCGCCTGGGAGACAACGGAGTGAAGAAAGTACACGGGGGTGGGGCGTGTGGCAGCGTGGGTCATTTGCAGCCACACACGCAGACAACAATGAAAGAAGTGAATGTACACATGCTGCTTTTGCGCGTGCGTGTTTTTTTTTTTTTGGTTTGTTTGCTCGTGCGGGAGAGTGAGGCGTTGCTGCGGGCGAGGAGGGCACAAACACGGACTTGCATGCATACATGCATGTCCAATTGACACACGCACACACACACACACACACACACACACAGATGCAGTAGACATGAGGCAGCCCTTTCCCCCCTTACTCCTCTTCATACTTCTTCAAGCAAACACATAGCGGATGGTCATTTTTTTTTTTTTTTCTTTTGTTATGCTCACTTTTTTCTTTTTTTTTCCTGTCTGTCTTACACAGCAATGTATCGAATTTCAATATTGCCCCACTCGGCACACACACAACATATATATATCTATGTATATTTGCATCCACGAAAAGAAACGGGGCGATGGACGCATTATAAAACGAGTTGGATCAATCAGACCGTTGTGTATGCGAACAGCAGTACGGGCGTATTAACTGAGGGGTGTGTGTGTGTGTGTGGGTGGGTGCAGGGACGTGTTGTTTCAGGCGTATTGTGTTTATTGTCTCTCTCTCTCTCTCTCTCTTTGTGTGACGGGACTTCTTTTTTTTTCTTTTTGGGACGGGAAGAGCAGCACCTACACAGCGGGGCAGCAAAACAGCGAACACGAAAAACAATAAAAGGAATCAAAACGAAAGGAAAGAAATAAAAAAGGGGGGATAACCCTTTTTTTTTTTTTTTTTGTTCCACGGGATTTGACAGGACTTTTATTCTCCCTTTTGGGTACAGCCACACTGGACATATTTTTAAATTGCCAGGCAGGAGAAAAGAAGTGGAAGTTGCAGTGGGCTATTTAACAACAGGGACGCCTCTCTGACGACTGAGTCACAAGAGGATATATACTTGGAGAGAGAGAGAGAGGGTGTGTGTGTGTGTGTACACTTATGTCTATGGGGGCTGGTGTGTTTGGTTTGGCCCTGTGGGGCGGCATCGTCTCCGTTCTGTTGACGGCGGCGTTGACATCCACCGCGTCACCGACAGATGGACCGCGGATGACGGCGGAGCAGCACCACCGCACGTCGGAGCGTGTGATTGAGCACCACTCCTTTTCCCCGCCGCTCCTGCGCAACTACTACGGAGAAGACGAGCTGCGGCACTGGGCCATCGGCGGCACCACCGTCATCACGGACAATTACGTCCGCCTGACGGCAGACCGTCCCGGGCAGGTGGGGCACTTGTGGAACACGGAGCCGCTGGACATGCCCTCCTTTGAGATTGTCGTGGGGTTTCACTTGCATGGCAAGGGCACCGGCGCCGATGGCTTTGCGTTGTGGATCACGACTGACAGGCCGAGCCACAACGGCCCTTTGATGGGCAGACCGATGGAATTTACCGGCCTCGGCATCATTTTTGACACGTACGACAACGACGGCCTCCGTGACAACCCGGCGGTGTACGTCCTCTTCAATGACGAAACGCAGAGGAATCGGCAGTACAATACGCAAAAAGACTTCAAGGGGGAATATGTGGGGAGATGTAACTACGCCTACCGCCAAACCTCCGCGCTGCCCTCGACAGCGCGGATTCGGTACGAGGGGAATACTCTGCAAATTTTTCTCTCTCTTGATGGCGAGAGGAATGAGCTGCAGTGCACCACCATCTCCGACCTCCGCCTTCCGATCGGCAAGGGGGGGTATTACATTGGACTGAGCGCCGAGACTGGCGACCTCACCGACAGTCACGACATCCTCTTTGTCCACACTATGCCGATCGAGGGGGTCAGTTACGACCATGACGTGTACAGCAGACGGACGCTTAATCAGGAGGTGGAGAGTCCCCGTATACTCTTATTCCCTGAAGGAAATCAAGAGGAAATCCGGCGACATGTGCAACAACAACAGCAACAACAACAACAACAACAGCAGCAACAACAGCAACAGCCGCAGCATGAACAGCCGCAGCAGCATGAGCCGCCGCCGCCGCCGCCGCCGCCGCATGAACAGCCGCAGCAGTATGAACAGCCGCAGCAGCATGAGCAGCCGCAGCATTATGAACAGCCGCAGCATTATGAACAGCCGCAGCAGCATGAACAGCCGCAGCAGCATGAGCAGCCGCCGCCGCCGCCGCCGCATGAACAGCCGCAGCATTATGAACAGCCGCAGCATTATGAACAGCCGCAGCATTATGAGCAGCCGCAGCAGCATGAGCAGCCGCAGCATTATGAACAGCCGCAGCATTATGAACAGCCGCAGCAGCATGAGCAGCCGCCGCCGCCGCCGCATGAACAGCCGCCGCCGCATGAGCAGCCGCCGCCGCCGCCACCACGGCAGCGACAGCAGCTGAGTTCTTATGCTGCAGATAAAGAACGTCTGAGAGAGTTGGAGAGGGAGCTGCAGGAACTTAAGCAGCGCCGACGTGCACCACGCCCGGACCGTTACCGTGACGAGGAGGAAATGGATGATGAGGGTGGTCTGGAAGAAGCACAGGAAGGCAATGACGAGAGGGAAAATGCGGACGACGATGGGTACGACGACCAGCCGCGTCGACGTGGGGGTCGTCGAATTAAATCCGTGCGGAACTTTCGTAGAAGTCGGTAGAAGAACCAGAAAAGGAGAGATGCTTGACGCACTGACAAACACAAACACACACGCAGACGGACGGAGGGACGGCGTGAATGGCAGCACCGAATGATGGACGACGCAAAGCAGAGGAAAGAAACGAGAGACGGAACAGAGAAGAAAACGAAATACACCAATTAGTCAGGAGGGGGGAGGAGGAAATAAAAGAAGAAGGACGAAGAAAAAACAAGCAAACAGAAAAGGAGGCAGTAGGTGGAAAGGAGAAATGGTGCGGAACGAAATGTACGAGGAGCGAATGAGCAAAACCCACTGAAATCACCCAATGGAGCAAAAGAAAAGGACTTTTTTTTGATTGGAGGGCATAAATTATTTTTTTTAAAGCTCTCCACCCACCCCGCTTCTGACTTTTAACACGATGTTTTATTCCAAAACAAACACACAAACACACGGGCATACAGATACATTCAGAGGTGTATAAATAAATGCGTGTTGGGCTGTAGACACAGTGAGAGAGAGAGGGAGAGAGAGGCACGTGTCCCCCCCACTTCATTACGCTCGTTGCACACGCGTTTTTCTTTTCTTTTCCTTTTTTTTTTTTTTTTTGGGCTTTCTTAACGGAACCGACAAAAAAAGAAGTAATTTTTTTTTTCTTTCTCTCTCTCTCTCTGTGTGTGTGTGTGATTGTTGGGCCTTTTATTTATTTATTTTTTTTTTTTTTTGCGCTGTGCGGATAAGTCTGAGGTGCCTCAAGCTGTCGGATGGGGCGTGGGTACAGCAACAGCCGCAGCAAGAGTGCGCGGCCGACCCTGCGGATGAAGCGCCGGCGGTCACTTTCGCTGCAGCAATTGAGAGGGTCCGTGCGACCGGCCCACACGACGCGCCAGAAAGTCGCTGCCGTCCCAAAGCCGGAGGCCCAAACCCCAACGGTAGATGCGGGACACAAAACCTCAGCAAAGCGGGCACCAACGCCGCAGCGAGGCGGCAGTGCGAGGGTGCGGTCTGCGTCCACGATTCGTCAAAAGCTCGCGCTCATGGAGAAGGAACTCGAGGGTGAGTTGGAGCCGGCAGAGCGGGTGGCAGAGACAATTGTGAAGCCGGACGTTAGGACAAAATACAAGTCTGCCGGGCGTGCTCTTGACGAGGTGATGGACATCCTCACAGCTGCGTGCGTGCCAGGGGCAACCACAAAACAATTGTGTGATCGTGGTGATGAAGAACTTCTGCAGCGGGTGCGAGCGATGTTCTCCAAGGCGAAGGACGCGGACGGTAACCGCATTCTCCGCGGTCTCTCGTATCCAACAAATGTCTCGGTGAATTACGTCCTCTGCAATCATGCACCGTTGGTAGAAGAAGAGGCCATCGTGCTGCGCGGTGGCGATGTGGTGACGATTCATATGGGGTGCCACATTGACGGCTACCCGGTCACTGCAGCAAGAACGGTTTTTGTGCCACATGACGTCACTGCTGCAAATGAAGAGGTGCGGCAACTCACTCAAGGGGCAAGTAACGCGGTGGAGGCGGCACGTGTGGCATTGCACGGAATGATTCATCTCCTGCAGCCAGGCATGTTGAACGCGGATATCACAGACTTTATACACCGTGTGGGAAATTACTTTGAAGTCCAGGGACTAGAGGGCGTACTCTCAAACCGCACAAAACGATGGGTTCCAGATGGCATGGAATGCATCATCACACGACGTGTGTCAGCGGAGGACCCTCACCAGGACGTTGCAGATTGTACCATAGGTGCAAATCAGGTGTGGACGCTGGATGTAGCCTTTACCGATCATCCCTCGTACAAGGTGTCACCTGCTGATGGTGTGACAACAATTTACCGTCGTAACGAAGTGGAATTTCAGAGTGACGCCCGCGTGCGCTCTGTACTTGCCTCGCTACAAGAAATTACAGAGAAGCACCAGTGTTTCCCGTTTAGCCTCAAACACTTGGAGAACCCTCTTAAGGCACGCATGGCCGTGGCGATGTTGCGGCGGCAGGGCGTTATTGACCCTCTTTCTGTCCTGCGCATCAAAGGGGATCGTCACATCACCGCACGTTTTTCCGCCACGGTGGCTGTCTCTGAGAGGCGCGTGACGGTGTTGTGTGGGCTGCCACCAGCAGAGCCGTTGGTTGTGCCGGACGACGTGCGACCTCCGCCTCTTCCAGATGACATCGCTGCCGTGTTATCCGAACCCCTCGTCTTTGCAAAGGGAGGGGAGAAGCAGCAGGAGAAGAAAGCAGACAAGGAAGAAAAGAAGAAGGGGTTACATGCCGCAGCGGATTTCAATGCCAATGAAAAGGAACAGCAGGAGGAATGACAATGGGGGTGAGACAAACGTCTTTTTGTTTTGCTTTGCCACTTTCTCCTGTCCTCTCGCCATCCCTCTCTCTTTTTCTTCCTTCTACACGTGTAACGGCTAACGGCGGATGATCCATGAGGAGGGCGACGCCGCGGCGGAGAGGGCACCGGCTTCTCCTCCGCAGCCAAATCGAAAAAGGAAAATAATAATAATAATAATAATGAGATGAGCGGAGAAAAAAAAAAAGAAAAGGAAAATGTTGTTGTTAAATTTAGGGGTGAGGAGACATGAAGGAAATAATTCACTCAGCCATTGCAGACAGTAACAAGGATGGGTGAAGAGCGGCAAAGGACGGCGCGGCCTTCACGTTGGGGGAGGAGGGACCACATGAATAAAGAAGGAAAGTGATGTTTGTTGCCGTTTATTTTCTCTTTATTTTCTTTTTTCTTTTTTCCCCTTCTGCTTGTGTGCATCCGCAATGATTGGACCGTAAGCGTGAGGCACAACGATCTCATCAGTGCATGCTTCCTGCCGCAGTCCGTCTTGACGATACGCGAAGGGTCGGGTGCTATCGTATGAACGGGAGCTTTTTTTTTTTTGTTTGTTTGCGTCTGGTTGTATTGGGGGTGTCGCTCTTCTTTCCTTTTCTTTTTTTTCTTTTCTCTTGTCTTGTCTTTGCTGCGCTGCCTCCGTTTTGGGCTTAGATATCACACGCGTGACGAGTCAAGCCAGAAGTTTTCACCGGCACGTGGAGATAACAACACACCGGCGTCGCGTAAAGGGGGAGGAAGCGAGAGAGAGAGAGAGAGAGAGGGAACAGAACCAACCAACCAGCGAGTGGAGGGTTTTTTACCTGCACCGTCTGGGGAGGAGGAGGAGGTTTTGGGTCCAGTCAACGCGGGAGGGACATTTTGACCGACGAGGGGAGCCGCGAGGAGAAAAGTGGGGTGGGAGGCGAGAGAGGGGGTGGAGAAAAAAGAAAAAAGGATGCGGCAGAGCCACGTTGGGCCCAAGGATCAGGGGCTGCCGCACGGCCTTAGCTCCGGGGCGGTGAATTTCTTTATGGCCTCTGGGGATGGCCACCTTCAAAAGTACATTGAGCGCATGCTGGGCTGGGGCTCCGGCCCCCACCAGCCGACTTCGACGCCCGTGTACGGCCCCAGTAAGACGCCGCGCCTCCAGCAATTTGTGGACATGACGACGAACAACAGTGGAATGACTCCATTTTTTTCACTGAACAGCGCTGCAGGTGGATGCGGTAACAACACTGTGGAATACACAGAGGAGGAAGCAGTGGAGAGGGAGGAGGAACGGACGCAAGTGTACATGGATCCGTCACAGAGACAGGAGAAATGGGAGGATCATTTGGCACAAGCTCAAATCACAATGAATACTCCTCAGCAAAAAAAGCGACCCGTGCAGATATCACCGGGTGTGAACACTCCGGCTTCTACGATGGGAATGACACTGTCACCCGCTACGGCGGGCCGCAGTGTAATTCAAGTCACACCTGCTTCCACGGCAGCCCGCTCTACCATCCACGTGGAGAGTGTTTCTCATCCACCACCGCGGAGTGCACATGCAGTGACTATGATTGGAGGATCCAATTCCTTTGCCACCGAGCTGGAATCCGCATTTGCCGAACAAACGAAAAGAAAGAACGCAGTGACCAAACAAAATCATCAAGAAGAGGCTGAAATGTCAACCTGCAGGGCGGATGTGGATACGACACAAAGTGTGGCAGACATTTCTCTTGACGGTAAGTCGCAGAAGACATTGGATACGGGTCGCGTGGAACGTTCTACGCAGCGTCGCAATAAAGAAAAGCGACATGGGAAGTTAAACAACTGTTCGCAGCAGAATCATCAGCGACAAAACAATAAAACCAACGCCAATAAAAACAACAACAATCGTTCCGTCCTTACGCCCCTCACACCGCATGAAAACACCTCATCAATGGAGAATAACAGAAAGTGTTTTTTGCGTTTGCAGTGCCATGGCGATCGCCCAGCGACGGTGTTTTCGTGCATCAAATTCCATGCTGGCGACCATGTTATTTTCGATGCGGACCGTGGCGTGGATTTGGGTGAAGTCCTTCACTGTGAGGAGTTAACGGATGAGTCCTCCCCCAATGATACGGAGGCCGCTGCTGCTGCCGCCGCTACTGCTGGTGGCTTCGGAGCGAAGGGCGGCAGCCGTCGGTCGCTGCCGCGGGTTGTGCGCCGTGCGACGCCGGAGGAGGTGGAGGACTGGCGGGGGGCGCTCGTCAAGAGGGAGGAGGAGGCCGTTTTGGAGTGCCGTGCGGCGTGCGGGGAGCTCAAACTCACAATTCACGTCGCAGGCGCCGCCTTTCAGTTTGACCGGCAGAAACTCATTTTTTTTTATGAGACGGACGGGCGTGTCGACTTCCGCTCGCTGCTGCAAGTGATGTTTTCAAAGTTCCGCTGCCGCATTTGGATGGAGCGCATCAACGCCACGCCGTGAAGTTTGCCGCCCCTCCTCCTCTTCCCCCCTGCGAGGCCGAGAGGCGAACTGCAAAAAAAAAAAAAAAAAAAAAAAAAAGAAAAAAAGAGGAGTTTTGTTGTTGTGTTGCAAATATACACAAGAGCCATCATAGAAGCATACATTCTTTTTTTACATGTCAGTTGTTTTTTTTTTTTTTTGTATTCCCCCCTTTCCCATTTGTTCATGCCTTTCACCACCGGCAACAACTGACACCACCGAAGGGAAGTCTCTCGGGTAGAAAAGA